ATTTAAATGTGAGTTCTTCAAATATCAAATAAACAAAACAAGGAGTTTTGTCTCTGGTTGCAGCTCCAACTCACCCTTTGTGTTAAAGTTTAATAATAATATGTTTCATTATATCAGTTATTTTTTTTACAGATGAAGTGTTTGAGTTTATTAGAGAAACGTGTTAAAACATTCCTGTCAACTGTTTTGAAGTCCCTTTAACAAATGCTCCCTGCAGCTGCATGAAGAACCTGATATTTTACTTTTCTGACGTTTACATTCACTGGCCACTTTATTGGGTACACATTGCGGATACCGGGTTGGACCTCCTTTTGCCTTCAGGACTGCCTTGTGGCATAGATTCAGCAAGGCACTGGAAATATTCCTCAGAGATTTTGGTCCATATTGACATGATAGCATCACGCAGTTAATGCAGATGTGTTGGCTGCACATCGATGATGCAAATCTCCCGTTCCACCACGTCCTAAATGTGCTCTATACTGGATTGAGATCTGGTGACTGTGGAGGCTGAGTACAGAGAACTCATTGTCATGTTCTAGAAACCAGTCTGAGATGAGTCGAGCTTTACGACGTGGCGCGTTATCCTGCTGGAAGTAGACAACAGAGGATGGGTACACTGTGGCCATGAAGGGGTGGACATGGTCAGCATCAATATTCAGGTAGGCTGTGGCGTTGCAACGATGATCAGTTAGTACAAAGGGGCCCAAAGTGTGCCAACAAAATGTCCCCACACCATTACACCACCACCAACAGCATGAACCATTGATACAAGGCAGGATGGATCCATGCTTTCACGTTTTTGATGCCAAATTCTGACCCTACCATCCAAGTGTCGCAGCAGAAACCAAGACTCATGAGATCGGCAATATTTTTTAAGCCATTTATTGTCCAGTTTTGGTGAGCTTGTGTGAATTTTAGCCTCAGTTTCCTGTTCTTAGCTGACAGGAGTGGCACTCGGTGTGGTCTTCTGCTGCTGCAGCCCATCTGCCTCATGGTTCGACGTGTTGTGCGTTCAGAGATGCTCTTCTGCATACCTTGGTTGTAAAGTTAATCTGCATTACTGTTGCCTTTCTATCAGCTCGAACCAGTCTGGCCATTCTCCTCTGACCTCCGGCATCAACGATTTGGCATTTTCACACACAGAACTGTCGCTCGCTGAATGCTTTCCCTTTTTCAGATCATTCTCTGTAAACCCTAAAGATGGTTGTGTGTGACAATCTCAGAAGATCAGCAGTTTCTGAAATACTCACACCAGCTCGTCTGGCCCCAACAACCATGCCACAAGCAACCCATCATTTAAATCACCTTTCTTCCCCATTCTGAAGCTCCGAGTAGATCATCTTGACCATGCCTACATGCCTAAATGAGTTGCCACGACACGATTGGCTGATTAGTAATTTATGTTAACGAGCAGTTGGACACGTGTACCCAATAAAGTGGCCAGTGAGCGTTTATTTATCAGTTTATGTTAACATTTAGATGTGTTGATAAATGCGTTTGCTGTGTGTGACAGTCGTTTGCCTCTTATATAAAAGCTAGGCTGGTCAACGTTTGGTAGAAAACTTGTAGAACAACAACTTAAAACAATCTGGAATCTTTTTATTTGATTTAGGCTTTTTTATGTTTTTTATCGTCCAACAGCTTGAGCGGAGCATCGATGCGGCCCTAACAAGGTTCCCTTTATGAGATATTGATCCAGGACGTTTGATTCTGAGATGCTGATGCTCTTCACTCTTCAAAGGGATGAAAAACATGAAACTGCTCTTTTATTCTGAGGCAAAAACAATAATCTCAAGTGTGATAAAGTGCCTGCAGCAGCGTGAACAGCACGGCGTTTATTAACTCACCGTGAAGAACCGAGCACGTGTTTGTGTTGTGAATCATGCTGTGGCGCTCGTGTGCAGACATGACAGACAGGATCTGGTGTACCAGAGCCATCAGTCACTCGCCACTCGTGAAATCAGTTGCGTCTTGTCACTAGTCGATCGATTCGTTCTTCTCCAGCATGTTTACGCTCAGCTTCAGAGCAACGGAGACGCTTCGAGTCTCGTACAGCTCTTTCCGCATGACTTCCATCAGGTCAGCTCAGCGTAAAACTGGACTCAAATACAAATTGTTGCTGTAACCAGGGGTGCTCCCAGAAAAATTCTCAGGGGGGGCCAATGACAAATGTTGGGGTGTCACACTAAATTGGTCTGTGTGGTAACTCTGGGAGAGTTTAGCCTGTTGCTGTGCGTTGTTTATAGATAAAAACAGCAAACCAGTGCATCCAACACTTTTACCTCAAATCTAAGAAATACAAACATTTCAGAAAAAAGACTAAAATTGTTACATTTTTTTCAAATGTTTTTGTTTTAAAAGTTTAAAACCATTTAATTAACCTGTTGCTGTTTCAACATATCTCCATTGTGGTTTATCCTTGTTTATAAACGGTGACTTCATAACTGATATATATATATATATATATATATATATATATATTGATTTACTAAGTTATTTACATTTCATTAAAAACATTTATTGTGTTTTATATTTATGCTTTGATCAAATCAGGTGAATGTGGTTTAATAAAGGGGGTGGGGCTGTTGATTCTCCATGGTGGCCATGGCCACCCCTTGGGAGCACCCGTGCTTTTGAGGGCACTTAATTGTAAATGTTTTAGCCAGACAGCAATGAAATGACCTGCACAAACACTTGATGCTCAGATATGATTTCCTTTATATTCGAGCTATAACCTCTCTGACGGGACTCGCTGTAATTCAAACAAAATAGGATGACACTAAATGTCTGAGGCTTTTATACTTTTAAAAGAAGCTCATTTTGTAGGAATGTAATTCCAGGAGTTCCGCCTCATGATTCTTTAAAATCATTGTTTTATTTCTTTTTAGGTTATTGCTTGTTTTTAGTTTAGTATCAACATTTAAAGCATGTCCAAACGATCAAAAATGGCCACTCGCTCCAGTCTCGGCAAATTAAAGAAATGGAGAGAATTATTAAGGGAAAATGTTAATGACTACCCTTTATGACTTAAAGGTGAGACCAACCCCTAAACCTTCAATAAAAGTGCTAAATACTCCGAACATGGACTTGAATTTTTGTTAAATCTTTTTAAACACCGGTGCGTCATGTTGGAGCTGTTTAAGGACCTTCATCAGCTGTTTAACTCATTCGCCGCCAGCTGCTTCCTGATCGGTAACGGCGTTCGCTGCCAGCATTTCTCACTGTTTTTACTGTTTTTTTAAGAGTCACAGAACATTGCACGCTAGGATGATGTCGACGTCAAAACAACCAAAACAAAGAGGAGACTCACCTCTTACATCAGGCAGAATCCGCGCGTTTCGAGCGTTATCCGTTTTTTCATAATCCGTTGCTGAATTGTGATCGGCAGAAGCTTTTCCGGTTTGCGCCTCACTTTTTTTTTTACAGCAGCGACCCAAAACGATCTCCTAACACATGGATGTTCTGCTTCCTCATCACGTGACGTGTGACGTATGCGGATGAAGATCGGCTTTAGAGCTGAGATGTTTGTTCTCACGGTGCGGGGGCTCGTTCCGACGCCCACACAGTAAAAACACGCAGTGTCATTTAGTCGTCAATGGCAGTGAATGAGTTAAGGAGCTTCATCAAGAACCTTTTCTGGTGTTTTGCAGCTCGCTGTGGTGGAAGTGTGAGTCGACCCCTGAAGCATTCCTGCAGATAAATATTTTATGTTTGGAGACATATATGGACTCACACGACTCGTATAGATACAGATCAGCAAACACACACACACACACACACACACACACACACACACACACACGCGCGCACACACACACACACACACACACACACACACACACACACACACACACACACACACTCACACGCACACACACACACACACACACACGCACACACACACACACACACACACACACACACACACACACACACACACACACACACACACACACACACACACACACACACACACACACACATACACACACACACACACATTACCTCATTCATTGGTAAAATGCGGGTTGTCTTCTTTTCTTCTTCATATATGGTAGCAGTTGCAGAAGTCTCAGTGTGTGTGTGTGTGTGTGTGTGTGTGTGTGTGTGTGTGTGTGTGTGTGTGTGTGTGTGTGTGTGTGTGTGTGTGTGTGTGTGTGTGTGTGTGTGTGTGTGTGTGTGTGTGTGCGTAGATGCTGGATAAGCTCAAAATAATCCATTTTATGCACACATACACACACTTTCTCTCAAGCAAGCTGCTGTTCTGGAAAATGTCACACACTCGTACGGATGAACTGTGCTCCCTCCCTCCCCCACTCTGCCTCCATCCTTCTCTCCTCCTTTCCTTTCCTTCTTTCACTGTCATTTCCTTACCCTTCCTTAGTTCCTCTCTTCCATCCTCACCCCTTCATCGAATTTCTGCTCTTCACCCTGATCTCTCCCTCCCTTTCTATGGTGTCAGGTTTCTGCCAAAACCCGTGCAAGCGTAGCCAAAACCCGTGCACGCGTATTGTGCACATCGCGCGTGCGAACGGGACTCGCGCGTGGAGGTTAGAACCTTATGAGTGAAAATATACATGGCGAGGAGGTCATTTGTACACTGAGAGGGAGCAAACTGTGTCTGTGAGCGCACAAGGATGTGCACAAGTGACAAACCTGCGTGCGCTCGTTGGCCAACGACCACACGGCAGAGGAAAACATGCGCGCGGCAGCCTCACTGCGCGCTCGGTGCGGCAGCCTCACTGCACGTGTGGCAGCCTTTCTGCGCGCTCGGTTTCTGATTCTGCTCGCTCGGCTGTTGGGAGTTTTGGCACTCTGGAGGCGTGGAAGAATTAAAAGTGCCAGAAACTGAGCAGTTGAACTTTCAATTTGAGAGCAGAATTTCATATCAAGAGACCAGCTTTTTAATTTCAGAATACTATTTTATATTATTGCTCTCAAAACTTGTAATGCTTGCGCTCAAAATGTCTGCTCTCTTTCAAATTCACTCTGTTCTTCAAATCTTTGTTTTTGCGCTCAGATTTAACCTTCTTACACTGGTATTGTCTTCTCATGTGACAACTTTTTCTCTACACGGATCAAAACTCCTCCCACAAGTCTGTCCCCTGCTCTCACGGATCTTGTCTGCTCTCGCTCAAAACTTAGAAGTACAATCTCCTAGCAACCGCTCAGCCAATAGAAAGACTTGTGGGACTGGGCGGGAACAAACCTCTTTGGGGTGCGCTCGTTTTGCGCTCTGTGGATTTTCCTGTGTGGCTGCCGCATCTGCGCACTAACAGCCTGGCTAATACCCGCTCTGATCTGGAGCGAGAGTTTCACCTGCACCAGCAAAATGGACCAGAACCAACAAGACGCTCAAGTAAGTTATTTTTCAAGGCTACTAGCTGCAGTTTATTCCATAAAATTGTTTTGTTATGCTACTTTTTACGACTCCTCGCATTTAATATTGCAACAGGGGCACATAGCTAGGTGGATTAGGTTATTCACTATAGCTACAACTTTCATAAAATGGCCTCAGCAGATTTGAGTTTTACCCTAACATATCACTCGTCCCCAATGCTAGCTCTGGACCTAGTGTAGATGTTTTTTGTTTAGTATTCCCACCTTTGTTTTTAATAGTTAGCTCTTTGGACATTACAGTAGTTATTCGTTAGCGTTTACTCCATGAACATTGTTTCCTCATCTAACTGCTAACTATCAAAATGTGTTTCATCCATCGACATAAATATATCCCAATGTTTTTCTCGCGCTGTAATGAACAAGATGGGTCATCAAAGTAAGAGAATGTTATTAAAAAGTGGAACTCGTTATAATTGAACGATGGAAAATTTTGACCAAAGCCGTAGGAGAAAACCGTTTTTGATAGGGAAACACATTTTGACACAACACCTGCCCTAACTGGCGCGTCAGCTAGCTTTCAATCTGTTGGTAGGTTTCTGAAAATATTAATGCTATGTTAAGTGAGTGTAATCCAGTAGTAATTTCCCCCAACAAAATAACAATTTCTATTTTTGCTCAATTCCTGCCTCCTTCCATTTCATTTTGCACTTGCATTATTTCTTTTTGTAATCCTGTCAAACCTAGCCGCTGGTCTTTAAACATAATGAGCCTAACTTACTAATACTGAGTCTGGGGTTACATAAGCAGTAACAAAACAAAAACAGTTTCTGTTTCTAAGTCTCAGCAATGAGTAAGGTTGTATTTCTGGTGTAAGCGAACTAACATTTGTTTTCTGTGAAATGCGCGAAATGTTGTATTACACAGTCTGTGGTACCATGATGCAGCACAATTCACTGTTGCATGTTAAACCACAGAAGATGTAGAGGAAGATGAATGTAATGGCTGAGGTGGAGGACCTGTAATGACACCAGAAAATAAGAAAATGTGTAAAAGCTTTATTAAAAGTTTAGTCCTGAAATTCTCATGGTAATCCAGGGAAGCAGGTTGGTGCATGGTCAGGGAACAGGCGTGGGTCAGGGCCAGATAAACAGCAGGTTCCATCCCAGCTCCAACCAGAGAGTGCTGCTGTTGTGTCCTTGGGCAAGACACTTAACCAACTTTGCCTGCTGTTGGTGGTCGGAGGGACCGGTGGTGCCAGTGTTCAGCAGGCCCGCCTCTGTCAGTGTGCCCCAGGGCAGCTGTAGCTACTATCTGGCTTATCACCACTGTAAGCATGTGAAAAGGGTGTGGCTGTTGTGTAAAGTGCTTTGTAGGCCTTGGACTTGATAAATTTCAATAAATGTGCAAGCCAATTACAATTTTTTTCAATTTGTAGGTGTTTCCCATTTGCTGTATAACCAAATACAACTTTTTCTGTGTTTTTTGTTGTATTTCTTTAGACTGGTTCCATCCGAGAAGTTACGAGAAACCTTATGGATTTACTGAATGCTCATCTACAAGCAGAGGGCCCGCAACAAACACCAACTGTGCCACAGCGCACAACACCAGCGACAACACCTTAACAGACTATCCCTCGGTCTACAGTTCATCAAGAAATGTCAAGGTAAGTTAAGTGTAGAAATGTAAATATTTGACATCTGCATTGGTCTATTCAGTGGTTTGAAATTAAATTATTCCAATGATGCTTTATTATTCATCTTAGAAAGAGGCTTTCTGCAATTGACTGTATTTTTTTTTTTTACATAGTGAAATTAAATTCTGAAATAATGTAAGCAGTGTAGTATAGGCTACAGCTAGGGCTGGGCAATATATAGATATTTTAAAATTATAAATATAATTTTAAACGAGAAACAAGATGACTTTGTATTGATATAACTAGTCAAGCCACATAAGCTAGCAACTAGCTTGCTCCGTCTGTAAGCGGTCATTTCATGTATTCTCACAAATCTGCTCAATCAGAAAACCTCTGGGTCAATTTTCTGCCCTAAACTTTGCATTTGGCTTCATGGTTTTTAATTATTTGGGGATATTCGTTCATGTTTCATCAAGCCTGTTCACCGTGGTTACCAACGGAGTTCTGTTTACCCCTCCCTCCCTCGTGTAATTGGGAAACCACTACAGAGAGCCAGAGTGGCCAAATTACCTCAAACATGTTGTAATGGCTTCAACTGTAAACGTTAGGGTTAACATTTAATTTTGAAGGTGAGTTCAGCGCTAAAAGTTTTTCTGGTTCCGGTTTTTGATGCTTTGCTATGGTCGGGGCTCAGCCACGTGAGTTCGGAATAGAACGGGTGGTTTCTTGTTCACATGTGATTCTCAGGGCTTCTCAGGAATGCGGAAATCCCCGAGCATGTGGGCGGCGGTAAAGACGCGCGGAAGAAGTCTGCGGTGTCCGCCTATGCTAAACAATAATTCCTCATCAAACCGCTGCACCAACACACACTGCGCTTCTCTAATTATCTGCTCTCCTCTAATCCTTCCTACTTCAGCGCTGTAGTGTCCTCCGCTGCAGACGTGTCCTTATAACCGCTGCTACACACACACTGCTGTCCTCCTCTGCTGCGGAGCGGGTGACAGCAGCTCAGTGCTTCATGTGGGCTAAACAGCAACCAGGATGAAAAGTAATCGCATATGCGGAAACCCCCCGGTGTTTGATCCAACTCCCCAATCGGAGGCGGTAGGTGTGAGTTTCAGCTGCCAATCAGTCCATAGTGTCTGCTCGGCACCAGCCGGACCTCCGAGGGAAGTAGTCTGAAAAAAAAGTCTCCTTAGAACGAAATACACACATGTGAGCCATATGCGAACAAAACATTTGGTTCCGAACGCATCCATGCCGACCCAGATGTGAAAGCGGCTTAAGTGAGGGAAAATACTAACATGGGACGACTGTGAGAATAAGGAGTAAAATAGTTTAGTTTTAAAAATAGTTTCCAGCTCAAAACAGGAGACTTGACAGGTGTGATCCTGGAATTGTGGATGAAGTCTGTCAGTGAAGCTCTTGGGATCACAGCTCCACCTCTCAGTTCAGACTCCACAGAGCTCCTAGTGTGTGTTCTTGTTCTCTTCTGTACTTTTAACGTTAACGCAGGAGAGTGTTTGCTGTTGTATTTCAGTTATAATGTGAACAACCACACAAAACATTAAATTTACTCAAAAATTCTGAATGGATTTTTAAGACCTGCCGTGTGAACGTAGCCTTAAGCCTGATTCATGCTTCTCCGTCTGCGTCAGTGCGGAGACACGCAACGTCCTTGTGGGCCTGCCGGAGAGCTCCGCAAGGACGGACGGAGTCAAGCTCTCTTTTCTAAACAGCCGTCAGTCGAGACAGACAACGCAAGCTTGTGATTGGTCAGGATGCCGCTGTTGTTTACAGCGCCGCCATTGCACCCTCAAAAACATAAAGAGAGCCGAGGATAACAAGCAGCAGACACGGAGCAGCTTGAAGAATACCTCGCGAAAAAACTCTAAAAACATGAACTTTTAGTTCCTCCCGTGACTGGAGGAGAGAGAAGATGCGCAGCAAGCGTTTTATTTGTGGACGGAAATGACAGGAAACGTGGGTTTAGAGGTGGCGAGCGCATGAAGAGGTGGAGGAGGATGAGAGACAAATATGTCCGTGTTAAAAGTCTCTTATATACACAAAAAATACAATATAAACACATTATCTTGGACCAATACATGACAGGATACCACAGAACAGCGCTACGCCCTCTGTTGTCCTGCCGAGGAATTGCTTTGCAACACTCTCCAGGAGACGGAGAAGTATGAGAGCAAAACACTTCCGTCAATCCGTGCGTGTCTGTCCGTTGCGGAGCTGACGGAGAAGCATGAACCAGGCTTTAGACAGCATGTTTCTCTGTACATAAGCCGTACCATAGACATCATTGGCTGCTGGAGAGTAACTGCTTCACCGCCATATTGAGTAGGTTTCTAACTCCAAAACCCAATTTGAATCCAGTCATTGGAGCAACTATGCCTGTTTTTGTGCAGCTCACAGTTCCAACAACCAGCAGTTACATCTGCCTGTAAGCTTTGTTTGTTAATAAAGTTATATAAAAATAAAAAAAAACTGTTACGTCACGATCTCCTTGCTTTCTACAGGAAGTTTAAAAAATTATTTCAATAAAGATTGAAACACAAACATGAAGCTAAATGAGGAGCTCTATGAACATACTGAACGCCGCTTTAAAAGATACTGAATGTGAAATATGGCATTTCTCTACTGCTGACTGATGAAAGGGAGTCCGATGTGCCTGTTGTCATTTTGCAGGAGGTTGAACGATCTGACAAGGTAGTTAGCCCGTAAAAAAATTGTGCTGCAACACTCCCAGTGCTTTTTTTGGTGGCCTTTACGGCTATTCATTGGTAGGCTCATCACGGAACACAAAAATGTAGCTTGTTTGTTATGATTTAGGTACGTACTGCCCCCTAGTGGCAGAAAACTACAGACTGTCGCTTAAAGAAATAGCATAAAATGGCCAGGGATGCAATTCAATATATATTCTCTTCTACGGTTTTAAATTTTTGAAATAATTATCTATCGATCGATTAGATTTTTTTAAATTAATATGCTTTTATTCATCAACCAGCCCTAAAACCTACTAAAGGTTAAACATTTTAAATTGCAAACTGTACTTAATTACGGAATGCAAGTAAATGACAATTACACCCCTGCAAAATAGTAAAAGTTCTAAATCAAAACCATTTTGAATTTTTGTTATTCTTGTCCCTGCTATTTGTAATTTTTTTTTATCTAATTTTGACATATAGTAATCCTGCACAACAATGTGATAATTTAGTTTCTATTAAAATTTAGGAAATTTTGCTTATTTGTTGACAAATTGCAGCTCAATATAGAAACATCATCATTGTTCTCTTGTTGTAATGTCAGGATTTCCAAGAGCCAGACATCGACTGGGATGTTGCTGCAGAGTACAGCCCAGATGTGGACGGTGCTGCTGTGGTCCCGGAGTTCGACAGTCCCCTCACTGAAGAGCAGCATGCTGAACTGCATCCATGCTTTCGTTCTTTTTTAAACACAGAAACAGTTTTGTTTACCTGTTAGTAGCTACAGTTTCGCCGACGGCTGCCGGCTTCTTCAGGCTGACGCTGTTGGTGGCGCGTCACTTCCTTCTCCGTTTATCTGCGGGCAGTTGTCTCTGCTGCCCGCAGATAAACGGAGAAGGAAGTGACGCGCCACCAACAGCGTCAGCCTGAAGAAGCCGGCAGCCGTCGGCGAAACTGTAGCTACTAACAGGTAAACAAAACTGTTTCTGTGTTTAAAAAAGAACGAAAGCATGGATTTAGAAAGACACAGCAAGAACACACCTAAGATGCTGAACTGCAGTTGCTACTGGCACAAAATTGGGAGCGTTCAAACACTAAGGAACTTTATCTATTGTGCAGAGAATATGTTAATGCTGCTTTGTCAGATTAATGTGTACTTGAAATAAAAAAATCAAGAGATCAGTTCCAGTGCTTTTATTAATGTTACAAAAGAAATACATAACATGTATTTGAAATGGCAATAAGCCTAACTTTATGGATTCATGTAACAATGTCGCTTTCTAGCTCCAAAACATTACATTATTTAACAAAACCATTTGTCTTTTTGGATTCAAAGTTAAATTTGAACCATTATACAGTAACCTGAACCCAGAACAGTGGCCATCTTGTTTTCACTTAATGTCTGCTAAAATCAAATCTATCACAGACTGCCTGAGTAAGCTGACTTTCAAAGTCAGTGTATGTAGTAACGTGCCATGTAGGTAAGGTGATTAAGTGTGGTCCATACCGGGTGGTACTGTCGTGATCAACATTTAGTTATCTTGTAAAATTCTCTTTCTGTGTCTGTTAGTGGCAAATGTGCCTGGCCTGAAACCCACTGAAAAAAATCCTTGCACTGACAACTGCTTTGCTCCACAGCCATCTGATGGGCTCCCATCTTGGTCATCTGTTCCTGAAGGGTGAAAAAAAAATCAGTGTGTCACTAACATGATTGAGGTACTGATTACCTCTCTGTAATTAAGGTGTAATGGCTAAATCAGTTTCAAAACAAATATATTTACAATTTATTTTTAAATTTTTTTTATTTGATGGGGGATTGGGTGAAACACAATGGTCTCTCTGACACTTCAAAATTTTCTCAATCAATCAATTTTTATTTATGTAACACCTTCCACTGCCTTTACAGGAGCCCAAGGCACTGAACATAACAATTTTAAAAAGAGCTAAGCATTATGAGCAGTAAAAGTGGAATAATCCTGCATGGTTCTGTGGCTACCTCCTTCTTCCAGGTTTTGCAAGAGGTCCTGCAAAAAGTTGATCATGTCCACTTCCTTTGTGTCTTACTGATCCATTGTCACTGTACTGAGGAGCCAGTGCCTCCACAACGAAGTCTGCATCCACCTACAAAAGACGTTTTTAAAAATACTGTGAATTAAAAAGATAAAACTGTTAGGGCTGCTTCTGCTTATCCTGCAGAGCTAAATTAATATAAGAAAATGAAGATGTATACCACTAAAAAATATGTAAAACTTCATTGCCATGATATTAGAATAAAAAATACATCTGATAGCTTCCTTAAAGAAAACTTAAAATTGCTGTCTGTAAAAAAAATGATAGCTGTAAAAAAATAAATTGGGGCAAACATTGTTAAACAAACAGATTATTGTACTTGTGAATCGATTTGATTCTTAGTATTTTTATAAGAATCGATTAGAACTGTTGATGGAACAAAAACAGCTTCAGCTTCTCTGCATTTCCTATATGTTTTTGTAATGGACATATTTTTTTTGCAGAGGCCTAAAGAATTTGTACTTACCTGTTTAAGGTTCCCAGGAAGAAAGAGGGGCTGAAGTGCCTGGTGGTGTTGTGGCAACAGCTCATCCAAACCCTAGATGGCCAGTCCTTCTCTAAGCTGACTTAGCATCGGTATGAGTCTCATCACCGAATGCAAACTGATGGCCCTAGTAAAAAGAATAATGAACTTGTAATAACTCAATTTTCAAAAATTGCATGACTTGTTTAATGCTACATTAACATAGCCTACTCAATGATGGCCCTTTTGCAATTGCTGTGAATTGACCAGTGTAGCCACATGCTACAATGGCATCAGAAAGGTCTGTCAGTGCGTCTTCTTCGGCACGTTCGACCTTCAATCAGAAACACTTGTTAGTACAATTTACAGAAAATAAATTATTCTGTTTAATTTACCTCCTGAATCAGGTTCTGGATTTCCTTATCAGTCACCTCTGGCACATCTTCATTTGTTATTTGTCCATGACGCAAGAAATGGTAAGACCAAGTAGAAAAGAAATTCGGTGCTGGTCCTGCTTGAACCAAGCTGGTGGCATTGATCTCCCCACAGATCCTGAACACAAAACAAGCCAAGTTACACTGCAGAGCAGCATCATACTGTACATACCTGTATCTGTTTTCCTGGTAGTAAGAGATACTATATTTGGGGTTTTGCCTTTGCATGAAACTCCTTCAAATAAGTTCAACTCAAGGCCTCGCATCATTTCTATTGGAAAAAAAGAAATGACAGTTTGCCATTTTCAACTATATTCAAAGTTGGTATGTTGACATTAGCAAGGAATACATACCAGTTAGGAACTCTCGGCGTAGTGCTCCTTCATCAATGTCGTGTTCTCCAATAAAGGAAACAATTAGCTGGTTTTTGTGGGAAGCCTGCTTCTGTCTGGCCCGCTGTTTCAGACCTCTCTGGTAAAGGTCGTCCCTTGTCACATTATGTTAAAGGTTTTAGTGTTGTCAACTCTTTCTTGTAGGAACTTCAGGATGTCTGATAAGCTATTGACAACAACATTGTGTTTATTATTATTCATTTTAAAACCTACACATTAACACAAATGTTTGTAAAAATTCTAACCAGATTAAGTGCTTAGAAGAGTCATCCACATCCAGTATGATGCTGTTCAGATGTGGAAACAAACAAAAAAAAAAGATTAAACTCTCATAACATATTGTGTACAACGTGCATGGGTAAAAACATGCACCTGTCCTCTTCCTCCTTCACCACAAAAGCTGGCATGCAGTTGTATAGACTCCTGAGTAAATTCTTATCACACAATGGACAGGAAACCTATTAAAGACATTTTTTTAAATCAGTGACCAACAATCATTGTTAAGTAAACAATAATGATTAACATGAAATGTAATTAAAATATTCTGTATATTGCTAACGTGCATGTTTGAAGTTTGATTTAAAGGGATATTCCACCCTATGTGAAAATTTGTCTACTGTCTAAATTGGCTCCTGCAAATGTGTTACTTCTTACTTTTCATTTGCAGTCAACATGATTATTGAGCTCAACAGGAATAACTGGTATCATAATTTAGTAATTTTACAGTTTTGCACACAAAATGCTACTACCTCCCATTAAGTTACATGGTTTATTCTCATCTAAAGCAGACAGACTGCTGGCAGATAAGAATTACTGCGCTGGTTAAAACAATCCTTTTTCATTCACTTATCCAACTCTGGGGAATACGGCACTAGAAAACATTTTTGGATCTTTCCCTGACACATATCTAGCCCCTCATAACTCGATCAGCTCCTGGATAAAACACCGGACATTTTATTCCATGTAGGACCCTAATCCACCTAGCTATGTGCCCCTGTTGCAATATTAAATGCGAGGAGTCGTAAAAAGTAGCATAACAAAACAATTTTATGGAATAAACTGCAGCTAGTAGCCTTGAAAAATAACTTACTTGAGCGTCTTGTTGGTTCTGGTCCATTTTGCTGGTGCAGGTGAAACTCTCGCTCCAGATCAGAGCGGGTATTAGCCAGGCTGTTAGTGCGCAGATGCGGCAGCCACACAGGAAAATCCACAGAGCGCAAAACGAGCGCACCCCAAAGAGGTTTGTTCCCGCCCAGTCCCACAAGTCTTTCTATTGGCTGAGCGGTTGCTAGGAGATTGTACTTCTAAGTTTTGAGCGAGAGCAGACAAGATCCGTGAGAGCAGGGGACAGACTTGTGGGAGGAGTTTTGATCCGTGTAGAGAAAAAGTTGTCACATGAGAAGACAATACCAGTGTAAGAAGGTTAAATCTGAGCGCAAAAACAAAGATTTGAAGGAGAACAGAGTGAATTTGAAAGAGAGCAGACATTTTGAGCGCAAGCATTACAAGTTTTGAGAGCAATAATATAAAATAGTATTCTGAAATTAAAAAGATGGTCTCTTGATATGAAATTCTGCTCTCAAATTGAAAGTTCAACTGCTCAGTTTCTGGCACTTTAATTCTTCCACGCCTCCAGAGTGCCAAAACTCCCAACAGCCGAGCGAGCAGAATCAGAAACCGAGCGTGCAGAAAGGCTGCCACACGTGCAGTGAGGCTGCCGCACCGAGCGCGCAGTGAGGCTGCCGCGTGCATGTTTTCCTCTGCCGTGTGCTCGTTGGCCAACGAGCGCACGCAGGTTTGTCACTTGTGCACATCCTTGTGCGCTCACAGACACAGTTTGCTCCCTCTCAGTGTACAAATGACCTCCTCGCCATGTATATTTTCACTCATGAGGTTCTAACCTCCACGCGCGAGTCCCGTTCGCACGCGCGATGTGCACGATACGCGTGCACGGGTTTTGGCTACGCTTGCACGGGTTTTGGCGGAAACCTGACACCATACCTTTCCTCCTTGATCGCCCCGTTCCATCCATCTCATCATGATGATGCAGTAATTAAATTAGATGTCCCGTGGATACACACTCCCACATGCTGTCCAGACCTGAGCAAAAGCCCCAGGTGTGTGTGTGTGTGTGTGTGTGTGTGTGTGTGTGTGTGTGTGTGTGTGTGTGTGTGTGTGTGTGTGTGTGTGTGTGTGTGTGTTAAGATTGATTAAATCTGCTCACATGTAGATAGAAGCACACACGTTTACAGAGATCTTTTCGGTGCGTTTAGACCAGATTGGATTAGGGATTAGAACACACAGCCACCTGAGGACAGCAGCATTCTGAATGCACCACAGGGTTCTGTTGATGGAGGTGGTTCTGGTTCTACAGCTTATTCCTGGAGATTGTAGCAGAACATTTTGAACTGATTCAACATTCGCAGGCTGACAGATGAAGGTCGTTGACATCGTGCACCTACAGGTGCTCTTTTGGGTCATGCGCCTCCTGTTTGTATCTCTGCATGAGTGTTTTTAATGAAGCTAGCAGAAGGAAATAATCTCAATGCAGGTTTTTCTGTCTCTACTAGGGATGCACCGATACCGATAACTGATACCGATGCAGTTGTCTGAAAGCGGCTTCACTGTAACTTGTCATTTCTGTTCACCTAATATTTTAGTTTTTTCATCATTTCTATCAATATATTTTTTATCTACCTCACAGTCTTTTCATGTTGAAAGCAGAGAAGAAAATAAAACCTGTATTCCAAACCATTGCATTTTGTGTGGTAGAAGTATCGGTAATCGGGTTCAGCGAGACCTCAGATCCAAGTATCGGTTTAGAAAAAAGTGGCATCGCTGCATCCCTAGTTTCCACATGTATCAGGCTGACTAAACACGACTAAATGCTTATTACAAATGTTGAATAAACTTTAAAACCATGTTGTGTGTTTGAAACCGGAGTTGAGATGTGGGACGGAAAGGTCAGAACTGCGTCACTGGACTGGATTTTCTCCAGGAACATTGTATCTGCAACAGGCTTGGGCGGTATGCAAATTTTAATCCCGTCCACCTTCCTCCACATTTTACCACGGTGTACGATATTAGCGGGACTCGTGTAAAAATGATGGCTTAAGCCTCAAGTGGAATTACCAAACTGAATACGAAACACTATTGCTAAACAAAAACAACACAAGATTTTAATAACTTTTAAAAAACACAGCTTTTAAAAAGATTTTCACCCGAAAAACCAGCATGTTTACCTTTTCCGGCTGCTCATCTCCAGGGTGTGGGCAGGATGTTATACTGAAAGCAGCCTCTAGACCAGGGGTGTCAAACTCAAACTCACACGGGGCCGAAATGAAACTCTGGGACGGAGTCGAGGGCCAAACTTAATATTTTTGAAAAAGTGACGGCAAATTTGCACATTTTCTTTATCAACATATATGCAATTTTGAACCTTTTAATTTGGAAACAAACTTATTTCTGCATTAACACTGGATGTGGAATAACCAAATTACACACGAGCATGTCAGTTTTAAATAAAACACATCAGTGGTATTCATTACTTGTGGTTTAATCAGCATTTTTAAAATCTATTCAGGATTTATGTTTTCTTGTTTATTCATTTTTCTTATTTTTTATTCTCCTTTTTTTCTGCTGTAATAAGTGTCATCGCTGCTGTGACGTCTAGCTTTCCCCACTGAGGAACAATAAAGGGATTTTCTATTCTATTCATCTATCTGCAGCCTTTCCACTTCCTGTTTACTGTAGGTTAAATCTTTGTTCACGGGCCAACAACAAAATAAAGATATCATTTTATCTTAAATGAAAATGCAACATCTCACCTGTTAACTTTCATGTTTTGGAGCAGAAAAAGAGCATAAAACCAACATATTTAAAGCTCAGTTTGCTCCACTGGTTTACTGTGATGCTCACCTGTTCCAGCCAGATACCTGCATCATGGGGTTGATCTGAGCTGAGGAGGAGACTCCTGTTGTTTTGTTCATCTTCATCATAATAATGACAACATTAGATGACAACAGGTGCTCACATAGGTTTGTGCTGATGAACATGTCTGAGCAGCTTGACCGCGTTGTTGTGTGTCGGGGAGGAAACACAACCACAGCAACCACAGAGTCGTGCTGGTTTGAGCGTGTCGCTGCTCGCTGGAGTTATATCAGCTCTGTCTGGACGTTAGTTGGAAAACTTTCTCTTTCAGTTGTGAACACGTTACTGAGCGGCTAGAATCTCCGTTTCTGGGCTTCAACGTCAGAAAACAGCTAAGTGAACTCGGCGCTGAGTGAGAGGAGTGTAGTTTGTCCGAGACAGTGGAGCTGCACACCGGCAGCAGGCGCTGAAAAAACACAAGGGGGGGGGGGGGGGGGGGTCGGCTCCGGCTGACGCCGCAAAGCATCATGGGAGTCGAAGTCTTTGCGGTAAAATCGGCCAGCGGGCCAGTTTTAATATATTTTTGATATTTATCTTGCGGGCCACATAAAAATGCTCCGCGGGCCTTGACTCTGACATATGTGCTCTAGAGGGTGCTTTGGTTCATTGTGGCTTCTACTTCCAGGTTCTTACGTCTAACCGATGTTACGTGTTATTGATCAGCTCTGGTAAGCCAGGTGTTGATGTTTGGGCACGAAGCAGAACATTTATTATTGCCTTCTGGTGCCCTGATGGCAGCCCTCTGCTACAATGTAGAGACGTTATTTCTCCATTGGGATCAGTACAGGATCACTTTAGTCATTATTTAGTTGTTTTTGTTTTCATAGCAACGAGAAATCCGTCGTAAAACAGACGCCATGAAAGACAGAAACGTAATACTTGTAATTTTACTTTAACTGTTTGTGGAGTTCAGCTCTGCCTTCAAGACCTCCTCCAAGATAAACTGTCCCAGAAGAACGTGCCTGACCTCATCTGCAGGCGGATCACTGACTTCCTGACAGACAGGAAGTAGCAGGTCAAGCCGGGGAAAAATGTCTCTGACCTGCGGACCATCATCACCGGTTCCCCTCAGGGCTGTGATCTCTCTCCCCTCTGCTCTTCTCCCTGTACACCAACAGCTGCACCTCCAACCACGAGTCTGTCAAGCTCATCAAGTTTGCAGACGACACCGCCGTCACCAGACTGATCTCTGACAAGGATGAGTCTGCCTACAGCATGGAGGTCGAACGGCTGCCGTCCTGGTGCAGCCACAACAACCTGGCGCTAAACACCGAGAAGACAGCAGAGCTCGTTGTGGGCTTTACCATAGCCCTGTCTGACACTCCCATCATGATGGTGGACTCAAGTCGCTTCCTGGGCACCACCATTGTGATATTATGTCTGAGTAAGTCCAAGTTATTACAACCATCACCCAGGACCTCACGTGGGAGCCCACCATCACCTCTATCATAAAAAAAAAGCCCACCAGAGGATGGTCTTCCTGAGGCAGCTGAAGAAAATCAACCTACCAGCACAATCGATGAGGCAGTTCTACACCGCAGTCATCGAGTCCATCCTCACCTCCTAAATCACTGTGTGGAATAATGGAGCCACCATCAGGGACGAGAAGAAGCTGCAGCGTGTTGTGCACTTGTGAGAAGGTACTTGGCTGCATACTCTTCTCCACACAGGACCGGTACACCTCCAGGACAATGAGGCGTGCAGGTCGGATGACAGCAGACCCGTCTCACACCGTCTCTTTGACTGGCTCCCATCTGGCAGGAGGCTCAGGTCCATTTGGACCAGAACCTCTCCACCCTTAACGTAAAGTGTTACTTTACAAACTGATTTCCTCCTTTTACTTTTGTTTCTTTATTTTCCAGATTTATTTTCATTCTTGATGACGGTGTAATCCCTTTTAAATGACGACAGTGAGCTGCTTATTTAAAAATTAAATACATTCAAGTGCAACAACGCTCTGTGGTCACATCTTTTGAGTTTTATTAACTGAAGACTCACCTGTTCAAACTGACCTTGGTGTGACCTTCATCATCACCCTCTCCTTATTCTGCTCTTTCTAGCAACTCCTTCTTTCCCAGGATCAACTGACTTCCCTTTTTCTCTTTTCTTACAATTTTTATCATTTTAAACACATTTATAACCCTCCCACTGTCTTCATGGGTGTGACCCCGCGAGGAAAGGTGACCATTGAGCAGGGTTGATGGTTCATCCCTTGGGTCCATGTGGCAGGGATGCACCACCTCACCCCTGCCACGTGGACCTCAAGGGATAAACCATCAGCCCTGCTCAATGGTCACCTTTCCTTGCGGGGTCACACCCATGAAGACAGTGGGAGGGTTAAGAAAGTTTTAAAAATAATGCTTTTATTTTGATTTTTTTCTTCTTGTGAAGCACCTCATGATTTTACCTCAATAGGTGCCATATAAAAGGTTGTTTTTTTTAAATTACCAATTAAATCTTGCTGTTTACTTCATATGACATGTATAACGTTTACCACAATGACAAACACCCGTGGAGCTCACTTCCTCCTTTAGAACACTAAACAACCCTTCACCCAGGAACTGGTAAGACTGGTTTCTCTGGTGGGACTAAGAGGAGGCGGAACCAATCTCGAAGCAAAGCCAGTGATCACCCTGCGTGAGCGCCGAACCAAACCCCTCCCGTAGGCGAGGATGGTGACGGGTGACAGATCACATGTAACAGATTAAAGCCAGTTGATTTTATGATGCGGCGAACGGAACAGGAAGTCTTGGGATAGCGGTCAGTGAGAATAACGATCATTGTTTTTGACGGGATTAACATCTGTGTGACGGATATTTGAGGACATCAGTGGCATTCCTGGAGGGGGTGGGGTTTTAAAGAGCAGTGATGCATTAAATCAACTGTATTTGATTAGTAAAAGACAAAAAGCCCAAAATGTTCCTCATGGTCAGGTTCTGGAAACCAGTAAGATATGGTCTGAGCTTGGTGGCGTGGTGCTTTATTCTGCTGTAAGTAGCATTAGTAGATGGACCCATGTGGACATAAAGAGATGATCAGCAACGATCATGTAGGCTGTGGTGTTTAAACCAGGCCCAGCTGGTACTACGGGGTCTAAAGTGGGACAAGAACATCTCTCCCACACCATTACACCACCAGCACCATGCTGAAACATTAGTTGAATGGGATGGATCCATGTTTTTATGTTGGTGACACCAAATCCTGACCTGACCATCTGAATGTTGTAGCTGAAATCCATCCGACCACGAGTCTCCTCTGCTCCAGTCCTGGAAATCCCGTGGGAATCGCAGCAGCAGTTTCCTGCTGTCAGGAGGGATGCTGTGTGATCTTCTGCTGCTGGAGTCCATGGGGACCTTGGTTGGAGCCAATGGTTTAACAACCGGTCTTCCCCTTCAACTTTGACTTTTTCTTCCACAAAACTGCTGCGCACTTTTTCAGAACCCTCTGTGATCCCTCAAGAAGGTTCTGGGTAAAATTCCCAGAAAATTATCAGTCTTTTGTTCTCTTTCTGATGCTCAGTTTCAACTCCAGATCGTCTCCATCTCAGCTTGATGCCTAAATCCATCCAGCTGCTGCCTGGTGATTGGTTACATAACATAATGGAAACTGGGACTTTTTTAAATATATTTTCTAAAAACTTATGAAGATTTTTATCCTTTTTTATTTAAGAAGTTAATTAAACAGAAACCTAAAAGTGGCTGGTAAGTTTATGAGAATTCATATAATCCAGAGAGGAATTGTGGAAATGATGTTCACATGTTGACATGAATAGATAAAGCTGGGTTAGATAATTAAATACATCTGCTTTATTTTAGCTCTTTGGGGAGGATGGATTGGACCCTGAGGGCAAGAGAACATAAAAGTGTGTTCTAGGCCAAAATATCATATTTACTGCAAAACATCTGCAGCCTTGTGGAAGACTGCAGAGCAGAAACGAGCCAGAAATCTGACTGATGATGAAAGAGAGGGATGGATGCGTTTCTCCTCCTGCAGAAGCAGAGGGAGTTACTGATGCCGCTCTGTGGAGAAGTCGCGCGCCCGGAACCGCACCTGCAGTCTTGTGAATCTTCTCCATAATCACCTGTGGCTGTGCGGCGCAGAGTCTCTAACAGAAAACAGCGCGTTCCCTCCTCTGGAGCAGCAGCAGCATCCCGATGGGTCACGCGGAGGAGCAGCATCAGCATCAGCACCATCACCATCACAGGCTGGAGCGTCACGCGTCGCTCCGTCTCCGTCCAGAAGGCGCGAGGAGGACGAGCTGATTCTGCTGCGGAGAGTTCAAGAAGCGGGAGGAGGTGGAGGAGAAGACGGAGGTGGAAGTCCCGCGAGACAAATAAAGAAACAGATAGGCGGACTGATCCACACTCAGAGCGGAGTGAAGGCGCCGCACGTGAGACGCGCGCGACAGAAGGGATAATCATTCGTTTTGGATCCGCGCCTCCGTCGCGTTATTTTTTTAGAAGAGCTTTTCTTCCTCCAAACGGGGAGAACAGTGCTCTCCGAACCAGGTAAGCAGAACCACAGCTCCTCTACTCTTTGGTTCTTTTCAAGGGTCCGGATGGAACCAGAACCGGAGCGGGAATAACACCTGTACGCGTCCTCGGTCTGATTGATCAATTAACCGCAGCTGTGGCGTCTAAACAGCGCAAACACGCCGCACATCTGCTAGATTTAAACCAGAACGTCGCCTGTAACCAAGACTAGTTTAAAACGCTGGTTTGGGGTCAGTTGGTCCACTTTTAGGGCTTCCGGTTGGTCTCTAACCGGATTTCTGTCTTACAGCATCTGTTTTTGAGGCACATCTTGATGAATCCCACATGAACCATTACTGCTGATATCATCCTGAATAACCCCCCCCCCCCCACACACACACATTGATTAATTATTGATGAATTGTTATTGGTCTTTATATTTGGTCTGATTTATTAAGTGAGAGGTGTTGTTCCTCAGAGAGGAGGTTGTGCAGCTTTGGCTGACTGGTGGGTGGTTTATGTTTCCTGACTACTGAGTAATGCTGGAAAAAGAGGGGGTGTAACGGGAGTGTGTGTGTGCGCGCGCGTGTGCGTGCACGAATTTGTGTGTGCGTGTGTGGAGACGAGGGCTGCGGAGTTTGTGTTGAGCTCTGTTGTTTGCGCGTTTGGCGTGCGCATTTACGCAGCTTGTCGGTGTGTGTCTGTGTGAGGGAGAGAGGACGGCGCAGTTCTGTTGGCACTGCAGATACCCCCCGTGTGTGTTTGTGCGCGCGCGTGCGTGTAAATTCGCGCATGTAAAGGAAAAATGAACACATGGACGGAGCTCCTGGATGTGTGTGCGCAACGGTTTTATGGTACGGCGCACCCTGAGGTGTTTACCCCGCAAATGAAAACCTCCGTAAGTGTTCCCCCATGTCCACCTGCAGGAAAGCCTCTCAGCTGCTGCTGTGATAGAAAATAAAAATAGATTCTCAGTTTGCAAGCACATCTGGAAAATTCTAGCAGAACATAAAAAAATAAATAAAAATAAATACCTGAAAATGTCGTTTGTCATAATAAACACACATGTTATTTGAGATGAAGACCAATAAAATAAATCTTGTTTTTCTATTTATGACCAGTAAAAAGTTGCTGAGTGAAATCAGAGGTGGGTGGATGTGGCAGTCCCTCCATCTTTGGGTTTATTTCAAAACAAAATAAAGATTATTTAGACAACACTGAAGCTTTTCAGACACTTGTGTTTTGGTTTCTTGATGGTTCAAATGCTCAGTGGCTCCCCCTTCTGATCTAGAACTTGGATTCATGAAATTATGTCAACTAATTAATCATTCAATTGTCCTGATGAAGCAACAATGACGTATTCTCCTGTTTTACATCTCCAGAAAGCAACAGCTTCCTTCTTGTCTGATAAACATTTCCTTTGTAAAGAAAGATGCCTCTAAAAATCTGCCAACGATCAGAATCAGACACATTTCAGGACGATCAGTCTGAAAACACAATATTGTTTATGGTCCACAAACACACCAGTACAGACTGTAAACCTACCGCCACTAAGCACCAATTCCCATTAGCAGCACTTTTATGTCCATCAAGATCAATAGAAATCGATGTTCACTAACAGATAAATCTGAATCAGCATCAGCAGGTCAGACATCTGTCGGCCCTCAAAACTAGAATCGGTTTTAATTTGTTTCTCTGCTTGTGAAAACCAGTCACTTGTATCCATCAGTTTGTCTTCCGCTCACTTTTAGGGTTCGGGTCAGTTTAGGCCCAATAGGGCCTACAAACACCTTGACCATGCTTTCTAAAAGAAGGTGTAAGATGTGAATCACTGCAGTCGTAATTTTGTCAACAAATCTTATTTTAGTTTTGGTCGTAGTCTTGACAAAAATTAATTTCGATTTTAGTCACAATTTAGTCATCCGATTTGTTTTAGTTTCAGCCTTATTTTAGTCAACTAAACTAAATGTATTTTTCTTTATTTTTCTTCTGATGCAATAATTTTCAACTTGTGTAAAGGAAATGTTCACTACAGCTAAAGAAATATGAAAAATCCTCATTTCCCTTCAAACAAGCATTGTTCTTGAGCCCACACCATTTTTGTAGTTTTTCTACATCACAGCTCTGGTGCAAAGCCCACTCAACAAACATGGATCATCCTGATTGGCCAGACACAAAACTGTTCAGGCCAATGGTAAACCTGCTGAGGCTAGCTAGACCCTAGGAACTCGTGCTATGGTTGGTCTAGATTTCTAAGCTAAATGTTTGTAACAGCTTAAAAACATGTTGGGAGGAGTGAACGGGAGCACCTCTCAAGATAAAAATCACGAGGCGATTCACAAGAACAAACATTTTAAAAACAATTTTAAAAAGATTAGAAAATATCATAAAAAAAGCTGTGATTGCAAAATGTAAGAAAATGAATGAGAAAATTAATAAGAAAGAGGGAAATCAGTGGATCCCAGGAAAAGTGGTGATGTGGGTGTATTTGGAGGACTTCATCAGAAGCCGAGCACAGGCATTCTGAACCACCTGTAGACGGTTCAGGGAGGTTCTGCTCAGACACGTGAAAAGAGAGTTGCAGTAGTCTAAGCGTGAGGAGATGAAGGTGTGGATAACTGTCTCAAGTTCAGAGTGGGACAGAATGGGACTCAGCTTAGCAATGTTCCCGAGATGGAAGAAGGAAGAACGAACAAGAGAACTGAATCTAGGGTGAGAGCTGGATCAAAGGTCACCAAAATTCCCGACAGAAGGTTTGGTGTGAGATGCAAGCTGACCAAGAGAGTCTCTGACTTTGGGAACCAGCTTGTCTGGGGCACAGATGAGGATCTCAGTCTTATCTTCATTCAGCTGAAGAAAGCTCCCAGCCATCCTGGTTTTGATAGAGTCTAAGCAGGTGTGTAACAGCTGCAGCTTAGATGTCTCATGGGGCTTAAAGGAGATGTACAGTTGGATTTCATCTGCGTAAAGATGGTAGGAGATTCCTTTAAATTAGCTTAGTATGTACTGACGAGGAAGCAGATAGAAGAGGAAGAGCAGAGGCCCCGGCACAGAACCTTGTGGAACACCATGGGCAAGGGAGGTGGTGGAGGACCTAAACTTGGAGATGACCACAGAAAAGGAGCACTCAGAAAGATAAGAGAAGAACCACTCCAGAGCAGTTCCTGATAGGCCTACCCAGTCTCTCAGCCTCTCCAGTAGCAGGTGATGGTCAACAGTGTCAAAGGCTGCAGTCAGGTCCAGCAGGACCAGAACAGAACAGTCCCCTGCATCACTGTGAGTCAGAAGGTCGCTGGAGACCCAAAGAAGAGCTGGGGATGGAGGTGTGTCATGGATTTTATCAATATGTTCATCAATAACCCATTTCCAATAGTGAAGAGAGAAGGAGACAATGAACAACAAGTCAAGCAGTTATAACTGTGGCAAGATGCACGAAGCAAAATGCACCGAACATCCGGTCACAGAGTTTATTCATAGAGAGGGGGAGTGTGTGTGTGAGATAGAGTGAGATTGTGTGTGTGTGTGTGTGTGTGTGTGTGTGTGTGTGTGTGTGTGTGTGTGTGTGTGTGTGTGTGTGTGTGTGTGTGTGTGTGTGTGTGTGTGTGTGTGTGTGTGTGTGTGCGCGTGTGTGTGTGCGTGCGTGTGCGTGTGTGAGAGAGAGAGAGAGTGGCTTGTGTGGGTGTGTCTGAATGAGTGAGCATGATCAAAGTGGCATAGAGCATTACATTTACATTCAGTTGATTTAGTCCATGATCAAGAATTAATAAACATAAATTTTTCCACAACATTCCCTCCTGTTTATCCGAATAGGATAACCAAACAGCAGGAAGCAACAAAACCAAACAAAACCAAACAAGGAAAATAAATATAAGTAAAATAATAAGGAATGTTATCCACTTCCGTAACTTGTCACCAATGAAAGCTACATCAGTCACAAATCAAGTGACTCAAGACAAAAATGATAAGCATCAAACAAGAAAAATAATAAGTAAAATAATAAACACTACGATCAGATATGATAAGTTCTGAATCAACACGATGAGGCAAACACAGCATGAGGTGCTGCAATCATGTGTCTATTGCGGATCGTAATCTCAATCCTGTTAACTTGTCCGAAGAATCATTCCATGCAAAGTTCAATCGTACAGCAGTTCACAGAGATAAAAAGTAGAATCAGCTAAATCAACACAATTATAAACTTAAGAAAAGCTATTTCATACATATTGAAATGAATTTACTGTGATGCACAAAATCACGACTTATGGCAGCTCCTGCAAGGAAATTAGGAAGGGTTCGCAAAACCATATAATACACAGAAAACATCAGTACAGTCTATCGAAACGTCAGGTGAATTTAGTTTAACGCTCCAAGCTGCAGACGAACCTTCCTGTGAAGGAGGAAACATGAAGGTGTAATATTGATTTACGCAGCTCTAACTATGGTAGAGCTGAGGCAACCCCGGCATTCTTCATCAAAGGGCTTGTCCGTGGACTCAGAGTCCCGGTTGGAGAATAGGTTTGAAAGTCAGAGTCCTCTTCCATTGATCAGGATGGTTTCAGTCTTGCGTTGATGAGTATCTTGAAGTCCATGTCCGGAGCGTAATAACGTAGTTCGGAACATGAAGAGCAAAGTTCAACTTCTCAATAGGAAGACTTCAGGGTCCTTCCGTGGCGTGTCGAGGCGGTTGTCCAATTGTCAGGGAGCTGATCTTGTCCCAGAAAAGGTCCTACAGGTCCTTGACTGTGAAACCAGTCTGGAGAATTGGGTGCAGGTGCTTGAGGAAGTTGATCCTTTCCCAGCGTCTCTTCTTCGCTGCGTCCTGTTGTAGATGCGTCCAGGGGGTCTTCAGCCGAGGTGGATAAAGGTTATGTTGTCATGTAGGTGGGCTCAGGAAGGAGCCCCAATCCGCCGTTTCAGTTCCAGTTCTCGTACCCCCTCAAATGCTGCCGTCTCTGTTGTTCCATCAGGTGCTGAGAGGCGGCCCAAGTGCAGGGCCATGAGTGAAGCCACCAACATCAACAATGTGGTTAACCCAG